CCTTTAAAGTTCTTAGCAATGCATATTACTAATCAAAAATTAAGTTTTGATATATTTATGGTAGGAAATTTACAAAATATCTTCATGGAACATGATCTTTACTTAATATTCTAATGATTTTTGTCATAAAAGAAAAATGGATAATTTTGACCCAAACAATGTATTTTTGGCTATTGCTACAAATATACCACAGCGACTTAAGACTGGTTTTGTGGTCCAGGGTCACATATATCTGGTGATATTGTGCACAATTTAGAGTGTGTCATTTTAAAATATATTTATTCATTTTTTTGGAGGGAAAAAATAAGAGCCAATAATATCATAGCCTATTTTTTTTACAATCCTATCAAATCGAGCTACAGTCCCACTATACATAATTTCAAGTTCAGTATTATGTTTCATTTGAAAATATGACACATTACAAAAGCTAAATTATTTGTGATCACCATTTCATGCTGTTTTATGTAAAATAATAAAAAAGAATAATAAAGACGTTTTTTTTGTTTAAGTATAATAAATAAATAATGTTTGTGTGTGTGTGTGTGTGTGTGTTTATGCACAGCATGGAGGAATGTGAAGCTCTCTGCACACGACTGGCCATCATGGTGAACGGAACATTCAAGTGTCTTGGCACAATCCAGCACCTCAAATACAAGTAAAATCACAAATTTTCACTAATGTTCACATAAAAATTTCAATTTTACACAGTGCAAAATATTTTGTATTTGCATATCTATTCTCTGAACATCTCTTATAATGTTTTCCCTGCAGATTTGGTGATGGATATGTGGTCACCATGAAAATCAGAGCAGCCAAAGCCGGCACTGTACCAGATCTGAATCCGGCCGAAGCGTTTATGGAGAGCACATTTCCAGGCTGCATTCAGAGGGAGAAACACTATAATACTCTACAGTATGAGATCGCTTCTTCCTCCCTGGCCAGAATCTTCCAGCTAGTCTTGGCCAACAAAGAAATGCTGAATATCGAAGATTACTCAGTGTCCCAGACAACACTGGACCAGGTATTTCATATGACCCTGCTGGCCTAGATCAACCTGTACCATTTTCATGATTTTCAAATATTTGTCAGTATCTCCTTATGTGATACATTTAAGCTTGGAAAATGTATGACTCCCTTGATGTAGTCCAAAACAGGGAGAACTATTATAGGTATAGCAGTCTTTTTGATGGTGCTGTCCTCCTTCTGGGACATGATATCCCAAACTAGACAAGCACAGAATACAACAGTCCAGTTCAGGGTCAGATTGCCACAAGCATCCATTCGTCTTGTGAACGCCACCATTTGTTTCCAAGCCTGCATGTGACAAATGCACTGGAACGAGGGCAATTTGGCTCTTTATGTAGTCTCACTCTCTTTGTTTCACTCCCTGTAGGTGTTTGTGAATTTCGCAAAGCAGCAATCCGGAGAAGATGATGCCGTTGTGTTGCACCCAAAGGCAGCCGGTGCCCGGCGGGACATGAGAGTCTTTCCAGTGAAAACGAAAGCCTGAAATCTTCACTGAAGAGGGTCATTTGAGCAGGTCAATTGGAGTCATCTGGCAGGGCACACAAAAGAGTCATAAAAGAAGAGGAGATTTTCTTTCTTCTTTACCAAACACTCAGTTTGAGACTTCTGAGCGTTTACGCAGTAACGGCTTTGCACACCTTCTTTGCTTGGCTTTTTTTTTTTTTTTAATAGAAATGCAACCAAACCACAACAAAATGCAGATGGAACTGGACTAAGTTAGTCTTATGAATACTGTAGCACTTTATTATGTCAATGTCACTTTTATACAAAGAATTTTATTTTAAAAACAAATCAAATGATGCAATAGATTTTATTGCAAAGGCTATTGCTATTGAAATGCACATTACATTGTGATGCATTGCAAGTTAAGGCTTTAATAATTCTTGCCAAGTTACAAAAGTGTAGCATACAAACAAGTGTTGTAATTAAACCAAATGTTGAATGTTCAGTTTTGTAATTTGTTGACTAGAAATAGCTGGTAGCAAGGAATTGTACAAAGTTAATTTTGGTTTTTCTTTCTTTCTTTCTTGTAAAAATACCCAAAAATAATACTATTAAAAATTTTATTGCTCACTGTCCACTTTGACAAGAGTGAATGCAATAACATTACCATCAGCAATACAGTCTGGAAATATTTATTAAATAGTATCACTCGAGATTGGTATTTTATAACCATCTGAACCAGTTAATGAGATTTCAGGTAAAACAAATTATTTTTATTTCACCCCAAAAGTTCAGTATTTTCATATAAATATTGTTTTTAATAAATATTGTAGCTAATTAGTGTAACTCCCTCTGTTTAGGAAAAACAATTTTCTTTCATGCTGAAGTAGTTGGTTTACAGTGCACATGGATAGTTGTGGAAATGATTTAACCAACAATAATATGTCGCGTCAACACAAATTCTTACAAATCTGCTTATTTAAAATCCCAAGTGGCATACCATTATAAATACAACAATGTTCGACATCATCTTGCATGATAACTGTCAGATATTGTTGAAAAGCGGATTTAACTTCATAATCCTTTCCAGAGGGTGCCATAAATCGGCTTCATTTACATGCAGCTGTTCAGATGTGTCCTAGTTCTCTCAGCTGAAATCATAATGTCTCTGGATTTTGACCTGAAGTTGGTTTATATAAATGTCAGAGGATGAAAGGGAGGATTGGCATGCGGAGGTTTGGGTAGTCCTTAAACTCCCGGGTGTAAGTTTTGTGTTTTCCTTTGGCCCAGATGGTCATTTGAATGAAACCTACAAATGTGAAGAGAGCCACTGCAAAAAACAAAACAAAAAAAACTTTTTTTGAAAATAAATCACAGATTGTACATTTACATTTTTCTATAATAATAGTAATATATATATTTTTTTATTTTATTTATAACAAAATATCAAAAACGTTAAGTAAAAACGAACATGAATTAATATATATTTATAAATAATATATATTTTTGAAACTCATTATATATATCAAATATATCAAAATCACAAAGTTTGATGGCAGTTGCTCACCTGGCACACACTGGGTCATGATGGACAGGCCCACCCAAGCACCCACCTGATGAAAAATGTAAGCAAAGAGGTGACTGACCAGTCGGAGGTGGTAGAGGAAGTGTTATATATTTGATTATGACAATGGTGCTGTTACCTCATATGTGTAGTTGGGACATGAAACAAAGAAGAAAAGCCACGTAAAAGGGTTTTTAGATGGATTTGGGAACCTGCAACATTTTGCACCTTTAAACAACAAAAAATGGGGTCATACGCAAGTATCCTGATCTACAGTAATGCCATAGAAATTTGACATAATTCACCCACCTTCACATTTTAAACTGTTCAGTGACCAGTGGATGGAAAAATTACCTGCCTCACATAACTGGAAAATAAACAATCTATCTTTAAAACAGAATGTGGTCCAAACATAATAGGTTATATTAGATTTTTAGTGGTACCAGATTTTTGATACTATTGTAACCTATAGTATGTTTATTAAACCAGAAACATCACATACCACAAAGATCATTAGTGCATAGTTGACCTGCGGCTCTCCATATGCTGTAAAACATAAAAACAAGTTGAATTAATTATTAAATTGAAGTGATTATTAAAAAGATTTGTCTCCGCTGGTACTCACATGGTGGTGTGTAGAGAGGATGGTTGATGTAGTATGCTAACCATGCTGCAAAACCCCAATAATACGCACAATTCTGTGAATTCAGAGAATTAGCTTCAGCTTTGAGGATTCAACACTTGCAGTTTTCCTAATCATAATAGTATTGTTCAGTTTGTCATATTGCTCAGAAAATAACTGAACTGTGTTAAATGATTGTTTTACTGTATTTCTGACACAGTAGAAAACCAGTCCAGTGAGACCAAACACTCACCCTTACAATGGCTCTGAGAGGCATTGTGCCATTAGAAAACCGATGCACAAAGATTGTTTCAAATAGCCTCTTGATATAGTGGAAAGAGTGACAAGCACAAGCCAAACTGAAGAGAAAATACAAATTGTGTTATTTACTCATCCTCATGTCATTCGAAATCCATACGACTTTATTTCTTCCATGGAACAAAAAAGGAAATTTTTTTGAAGAATGTACTTGACCACATGATGAGAGCTGGAGGTGAAGGTGTATTTGTGGTTATAGATGTATGGGACGCGGAAATAGAAGAGGAGATATATCAGAAGGGGACCTATGTACTCCGCCAGAAAAACCTGCAGATCATTGATGCTTTTAAAGATTGTATGATGGATACTGTCAGAATTACATTTTGCAAATCACTTACCATCGTCCATCCCAGTTGTGGGCCAAGGTCTCTGAAATACAAGGTCGCTGAGGTCCCGACAGGCAGATTCTGTAGCAGGTCATCATTTCTCAGTGCTTTTCCTTCTAAAAACCACAAATGCAGAACTAGATTTGTTATAGCTAGTGTTAAAGTTTTAGGTAAGCGTAGGTTTGGGTCCCGCTGCATCAAAGCAGCTCTCGGCAGATAGCACTTATCTTGCTTTCTGAAACCTGAAAAATGCTGCCTTCAAAAGCGCTAGAGGTAGCAAGACATCAAGGCACATCTGAGAACATCCACAATGTTTGTGTAACATCCTGTCTACCAAGTCTTCATCTGGTTAGTTTTCAAAAGTAGCTTAGATGAATAATATCCCTCAATTCAGTGTGTGGGTTTAGCAATTGGTGGAAATGGAGCAGATGAAAGATTTTTTTATGATTCCATTTCTACCCAAGGAATAAACAAGTCCTTAAATATTTTCTTGGTTATCTCTAAAGAAACAGACCTCAGAAAAGCAAGGACTTATATTTTAGCTGTAACACTGAAACTGTCATGAAGAAACATCCGATTGTAGCAGATTACAAAAAAGAAAAAAGGATGGAGACTTGGTTCTATGTACTGGTTGTTGGATTTTGAGATGTGGGAGTTGCACTCAAACGTAGAGGCAGATCAACACAAGCTAGAAGGGGCGGGGTTTAAGCGGAATGTACTGGTTGTTGGATTTTGAGATGTGGGAGTTGCACTCAAACATAGAGGCAGATCAACACAAGCTAGAAGGGGCGGGGTTTAAGCGGACTAAGTGATTGGAGAAGTCCTGCATACTTCGCCAGAGAGAAGTCAAACGTTTTCAAGGTCCAGTTATGACATTTTGAATGAACACAATGTATTATGAGTTCCTCATACTCACTGGGGTCCAGCCTCAGGGCTTGTCTAGCTGGATACCATTTGGGATCTGACAGAGAGAAAGATACAAATATAGGCTATTACATATTATGTATCAAATATTAAGATCTACAACCCACTTTCATAAAAACAGACTTGAGGATAAATGAAATGCTAAATTCAAGAATATAGACGTAACATTTGATAAACATTACGTTTATTAATACCTGTTCCTACATATTGTTCATTATTAGCTATGCGAGCTCTGGAATACTTGATTATGATTGGTCGCGGGATTCAGCAGTCAGAGATTTCCTCATATTAACCGTCACTCCATAGCAAGCTCGTCCACAGCTCGTCCAGGGAACTGCAAACCAATCAGGTACCGAATAGAGTACTCCTTAAAAGTCCTTTCAGCCAATAGAATCGCTAAGACCAATTTGTTCATTACACCGGCGCTACTTTCAGGCTTCTCCTCTGACACTGCGAAAACTGTTTATGCAAACGCAACTGGCGCCATTTTGTGTCTTAGGTATCGATTTGACTGAAAATAACTTCAGCATTAATAGTACTATAGTATTGTTACAGTATTTATCTTGTTGCTAGGTCGAATGTTCTGTACACTGTAAATGGACTATTTTAGCGGAAGCTTTTCTATCTACCTTATTTTTCCGTAAGAGCTGGCGCGGCCATTTGTAAATTGTAATGTGTCTGGCTTCCGGTGTCATTCACTTCCAGCTATTTTTAGCTGTACAAAACAGCTCGTTTTTCTGCTTGATATTGCAAACTAGTGTCATACCATATTATTTTAATGTATAATCTTAAGTATGAACACACCGGTATGTAGTGCAAACAGTTTTACATTTACTGCACGTTCTTCTCATTATTTCCCTATAGCGGCTAATGAACCGGAAGTCTCGCACATTCACAAAAAATGGCTTAATTCCAAGTTGAAAAATAAGATGGATAGTATACCAGTAAAATTACACAACAATTGAAACTAAAATCAGTAGGCCTGTTTAATATCCATGCACTTGTTTATGAGTCATAAGTTCATTATTGCAATATTACACTTGACAGGCTGACCAGGACTCAGGCGCACATCAGCGGAGGAAAAATTTGACCAATATTTCATATTTGACTAGGTAAAATTACAATACAATGCCATTGTGGGGTAAAACTTACATGACTTGTGAAACAAACTCTTAATGTCACCTACGCTTGAATGGGGTTCAACCTGCATTAAAAACAAAATAAAACAATTGACCATTAAGTTTTGGCCGAGCTCAGCAGTCCCTGTCTTTGATTGTAAGAGGTAAAATCTGCTTACCTTGTCAAGAAAACAGAGCTGTTCTTTGGTTTTTGAGTCCAGTATTTCGACCTAGAAGATTAGAGTCATAAATTCAGCTGGGTCAATAGCTGCACAGCACAGACACTACAAAGCATACTTACTTTTTAATTCAATCAACATAAATCAAGTTAATTTAGTGAAGGTCTGGCCTCAGGGTGAAGCTGCCCATCACTTCACCCAGAATTTTCTGCTTCAGAGATGCATCACAAAACTGACAACCGAGAAAGGCAATAAATTCTTATGCTGTTAACATAGTTTCATATTAATAGGAAATAAGTAGAGTTTAGGAATAATTTGCAACATGTTTCCCCTTGAGTGATCGCAAAAAAGGTGCTGTGAGTGAACACCCAAAACTGTTTCATTCTGACACAGTTTTCCAAGTGTATCCGAGAAGCCCAAGAGTACCTAATGAGGACGGCACAGTCGAGGCGCTGTTTATATTGATCAGAGCTTCTGTTTTGACAGCTCTGTCCCTGCTTAGCTCATTGTATTCACTTCATCAATCATCCCAAAAACAAACATTGAATCTCCACCATTGTCTGTTTCTGACCAGTCTGAGCTCTGAAATCCAAGGATGCATCCAAGGTTTGCAGTACAGGGATCTTTTTAATCTTAATTAAAAGGCGTCAGCGTTGATCTACAGAGTACACACTGTGAGTTGGCTCTGCTGCAATTTGCCTTGAAAGCACTACATACTGTGGAGCTCAGCAGAGCTGTCAACCTGAAACTGCTCTTATACTGGCTAGTGTGTAATAATCGTCTAATGGACACACAGGATTAGCCTAATGCTCAACTTAAAGAAAGAATCCCAGTGGAATGGTTGAGGTTATTCTGCAGATAGGGATGTCTGGGATCATACTTGCGCACGTTGCATCTGATGCTGATCCACTTGTCTAAATTCAACAGGGAGTTTTCGAAACTCTTACACTTTTTATGCCAGATATTTGTTGAAAAGGCATCTATCTATTGCATATAATTTATATTTTATATGTGTACATTTCTTATATAGTGATATATGTGACTTACTCATTGTTATATTCATTTATAAAGACTATGCAGTAAACCTGTCCTGCTTTCAATCAGGCAGAGTAATCAATAAAAGCACTCTCTGAATTTCTGAGTGCTATTGACAGGACGTCCTGCCTCTGCTATACCCATCCCCCCCAGTACTGTAAACACAGCGGTAATGATGAGGACTGTACCAGGCTCAAAACATAACATAATTCTGTATCTATGAAAGATTTTGTTTTGTTTGAGGTTTTTCATTTCTTTCTTTCTTTGTTTACTTCTTACTCCAGTTCAGGACATTTGAATGTTTGATTTCTGAACATTTAATTTTGAAGTTGTTTAATGTTAGATTATATAGTGTGTGTGTGTTAATCAATAGCACAGCAGTCTCTGGTGGTGTTACAGTAGGCAGTGGAAATGCCTGAGAGGGTCATTAATCCTCCACAGATGACAGGCCTGTCGGTTATGTGCTGAATTATATTTACTTGTTTATGTTCAGCAAGTGTAAAATTAAAGCAAACCGGCGTACAGCAAATTTGCTCTTACAGTATGAAACCCAATTTGAGGAACTGACGATTGATTTTCAACAAACTTAAAAAATGCTTAAACTTAAATTGTTTTTATTTAGCTTAACATATAGTAACATAGCACTTTTACTGTCACTCATCTTTATGATTAGATCACGGATTTGTTCATCTTGAATAAACCTAATGAGAACGCCTAACAACGGCCTGACAACTACCTACATGTTTTGAAATACATCTTCAAATTTGTCTCCAAAGTATAGCTCAGTAAACCCACACACAATGAAGGATCTCCTCTTTGCCTTTTGACTATGAGAATGAGGCTTTTTAGTCTTTTAACCCAGTTCATTGCCCTCCACACCCACAGTTAAAAGTTTGTACAAAAACATGTAATCTTGTTAATTAACTTGATGCCTTACCTCAAAAAATATTGTTCTGCTCATTCCGGGGCCCTCGTCTGACGTAATGTAAGGTCCCCCAGAGTTGGTCAGGCTGCTCCGTCCTTTCCTGTGGTAATGCCAGTGTTAATTCTCCATTCTAACCCTCCTCCGTCACTCTCCATCTCCCCTCCCACACTCTCCCCCTCCTACTGCCTCTGCTTTTTTCTGTCTTTTTCTTCCCTCTTTAATCTCTTGCCCTTTCTATCTGAAGAGAGAGAAGTCTTGGTCTGCAATCTTGTCCTAGATGTGTCTACAGGCCCTCAAATTGTGAATGGACGATTAAAGACTGTGTTTTAGATTAACACTTTTTAAAAATGTAAATAATAATGCTAAATGATGAAAGATACAAACATTTTATGAAAATAAAAAAATGGAAATAAAATATAAATCAATCATTCAGTTTGGAGCTCGTTCAAATGGAGATCAATGCTTCAAGCCCTCCACTGTCCATTGGGCTAAAAATAGAAAACACCCTCAGGAGTGTGTTGTGATGTTCTGTCATCTTGAAATTAATGAGTGAAATGTATTCAGGGCAGTGTTTTGATCCCCTGTGTCATCTAAAGGGCTGTTACTGTGAATGACTGGGGAATAAAACATTCCTTTCCTTAACTTAAGTCTAGTCTTTAACTTGAGATTAAGTAGCCATATTGGCAAGATTGTTAACATCAATATGCCACAGCATTTTGTGTCAGACATAGCAAGAAATATGACCTTCTTGAAATCAGATGGATATAACTAAATCTGTAGATATTTGAAATTGTTGGTTGTCTGCTCATCAGTTCTAGTTTAGAAAGAGTATTCATATATGAGTATTTATGCAAGTCAGGATGTTTTGACTTTCACTGTTAGATTTTTAAAATGAAATATTTAAATCCTTAAGTAGTAATCCCTAAACTAAAAAGGTAAAAATGAATAAATAAGTTAATGATCTACAAAAAGTTTCAATGGAGTCTTCTCACAGCACCCACTAAAAAGTCATATTAAACTTGATTAAAGTCTTAAGTATTTCACTAGATGGCCATTTCATATGAATTTGTACAATTTGATTTGTACAAAAATGAAAATGCATGCTTTTTAGAAAAAAAGAAAAAGAAAGAAATCATGAGAGTCCATCCCTAAACCTAACCACCAGATCGTGTAAGCATGTCGTATAAAAACATAAGAATGAAATTCATACAAATTAGCCACCAATTTGGCAAAACATAAAAACCAAGTAAGAATTGCCATGAGACTGTTTTGGAACAATAAACTCTTCAATATATAAACAGCCAAAGCAGCTAAAAAAAGAGATGACATAAACTTTGCTGCATTTATTCCCAATTATTTCCACCTTTATCATGTGATACATTTCAGGTTTTACCAGTGCTTCACAGTTACAGCCTTTTCTGTCTTTGCTGTCAAGAGAGTCTAGTCACGTCAAGTGGCTTAGACATGGTGATTGAAGCTTGACTCTTTGTTCAAGTGTAGTGCAGAGGCAGAGGGCCCTTGGTCTCAGCCCAGCAAACTCTGAGTGCAAGGCATGTATTCAGAAAGCTTCCAGCACTTCAGAGAGATCACATATCTGCTGTGCTGACCACGTTCAGTGTCCATGACAGCATCTGCTGCCATTCTGAAGAAACTGCAACCTCTGTGGATACTAAACATTGACAGACAGAGAGACAGTTAGGGAGATGAGAGACAGATAGATAGATTCATTTTTATTCATCAGGAGTCCTGGTGACATCTCTAAGATTGCCCTCAAGGTCAGATTAGCTCTCCTATCATGATGGGGATCCTCTATTTCTCATATTTTTCACGTCTGTGGTTGCTCAGCCACACAGGCAAACCCCCCTCACAGAATTTCTGACCCAGCTGCTATTGAGCTGTGAAATTCAGATGAAGAGACTCTCTGAATTGCCAAAGGCACTCAGGCCACTTCAGTGAATGTGAACAGGAAGTCGGCTGACAGAGAGTTCCTCTTCAGCATTCAAGGGCAAAATGAGCACACAAGTACAGCCCGGAGAGTGTTTATTTGATAAAGGGCTGTGTAACAACTGCACGAGTGTCTCACTGACAAATAGCGTGAAATATAAAGGTATTAGTGGATTTACTAGAAACAAGGGAGACGAGCAGGAAAAGATCTTTTATCACACTGTTTGATATTAAGAAGTGCTTATTAAGTTTGCCACTAGAGGGTGCTGTAATATTGTTAAAACATCTGTGATTGTTGACACCGGTCACCCATGGAGGAAATTAGAAAGTGGCCTTCTGAAGATATGGTGACCTAAGACATCTCTATATTACCTGGAGATATCAGTTCACATTTCTGATTTCAGTGTGAGTTTATGCTGGTGCATGACTAGTTTGTTTAATTTTGAATGCACACTAGATGCTCTAATTATATGGCATCTACCAACAGGGGCTAATTCGGTCATGCTAATCAGCCGACATCTGCATCTTAAATTATTATTAATATATATATATATATTATACATTTTTGTTGCTCGTTATCTGCTTAGCATCTCAAAAAACATCTCAAGGCATTACCAAATTACCTGTTGCCCAGGTAAGGAATCAATTTGGATTTTAAATCTATCCTGATTATCTTAAATAATAGAAAACTCAATCCTACAATGTAATAGTAAATTTAAAGCCTCTAATAATGGCACTTTTATGAAGATTAAATTTTAATTTGTGCATTTTCAATAATTAATTTCATCATTCTGATTAATGGATATATTGACATATAGAAAGATCATTTTCTCTGGGAGTTCAAGAAAAAAATTCAAATGTGCAGTCTGTTATTTGCTTTTTTAGCACTTGCTATCTGTTTTGAGCATGTATTATGCTGGTGCTGCCTTGGGGTAATTTATGATATTTATTATGTATGATGGTGTTTGTTGTACCCCATGGCTTTGTTGCATTTCCATAAGCCTTCATGTTCTCTGCTATTCCCTTTAATTTTGGTGAGATGTCTGCCGTCTCTTGCTCTGTTTTGATATCTGATAGGATTTCAATCTCGAGGCTTGTGAAGTGTCAGAGTTTTGTTTCACATCTCTCTAGTAATTTTGCCTGAACTCATCATCCGAACTCACCAACACCTGTTCATTTGCTTCCCTCACCATCTGTCTGCTTTCCATTGTGCCGTTTAAGATGGCTCATTAGAGAAAATCCATATAGATCGGAGGTGCTGAGTGTTTCCTGGTATGTGCGTTTTGGCTGCAGTGGATGGAGCGCTAAATTAAATTTTCATGGAGGGCCCGAAGAAGGCTAATTGCTGCCTCATCTTAATGTCACCTAGACCGACGTGAATAAAAAGAGCTGATATGGCATTAAAAGCAACCGTTGTGCTTCACGCCAGTTTCCGTTCGTCAGTACAAGGGACTTAACTTAATTTGTAAATTAATGTATTGAGCTGGCACAGCAAGGAAATCCCTCTAGTGTGCTCGTTTTTAGGGAACTTTTTATTGGACTCATTTTATGTTCTCAAATTTTTTTGGGGGGGCTGTCCAAATGATTTGTTTTCTTCTTTTGTGCCTATGTTTGGCTGAAAAAGACTACTGTCGTTAAAGGATTGAATTGAATTTTTTAGAGAGGATGTAAACAAACTTATTCAATATCCTCTCATTCCACAAAGTCATGTTAACGTCTCCATCTGTGAGAGGCCGCAGGCTCTAAACCATCTAACAATACCACGTCTGTGCTTTCTAATACATAAGGACATGCCTCACAGACCGACCTCCTTTCTTTTATTTGGCTTTGTCTGACAGAACCCCCAAATTCTGGCAAGTTAAAAAGTCTTTTGCAACTTTATAAATCATTTGCCTCTTAACCGACGTTCTTATTTCAGTAACTTGCATCAGCCAGACTTCCGGTGATTTATTACCCAATTACTGTTTAAACTCCTGAATCTTTCCCAATCATTCGCATCTGTTTTTGCGGTTTCACATATGAGTGCTCGCAGGCATTTGGTCCTTTTGTGAGCGTGCTGAGCAATGGAAAAACCTGTGGTCCTCTACAGATGCTCCACCATCTTCTGTGCACCTGCATTTGCATGCAAAGCGAGCAGTCGTGTGCTGCACTGAGGCATCCAGCGCTGTGAAATGTGTTGAGCGCTGTTGGTGTTTTGGTGGTGATCAGATTTATTGCCAGAGGCGCCTGAGTCACAATACGATAAAACAGGGGTGGGTGACAGTCGGGGACACTGTGTGGCCATTAGCGTTTACGTGCAGGCATATACCCCACACGATGAAGATGAAAAAATGGTGAGTCTAGTCAGCTGTACTCCTGTGTTGTAGCAAAAGCAAAACCAGAAGGGCTCTAAAAGAGCTGCTGTTATGCGCCTCTGCAGTTAAGAGAGCCATCATATCTCTTTGGGTCCGATTATCAAACTACGCTCTGTTAGTGAGCCTTCAAGCTATTTAGAATTAAAAGCAAAACATTTAGAGTTAAAAGAAAACTTTAGATTCCATACCATCAGAAGTGATCCAGACAGAGAACATGTTCAGTTGAATACTATATAAAATGCATGCAAAAAAGTTTTTTTTTTTGGATAATGGGCAGTTATGGACTGCTATTTTGGCCAGAAGTGATGGTTTAAAGTTAAAAAGCCTTAATGATAGATTTGTTTCTTACAAACACGCAGCTTAAGACAGTTAGGGAGATGAGAGACAGATAGATAGATTCATTTTTATTCATCAGGAGTCCTGGTGACATCTCTAAGATTGCCCTCAAGGTCAGATTAGCTCTCCTATCATGATGGGGATCCTCTATTTCTCATATTTTTCACGTCTGTGGTTGCTCAGCCACACAGGCAAACCCCCCTCACAGAATTTCTGACCCAGCTGCTATTGAGCTGTGAAATTCAGATGAAGAGACTCTCTGAATTGCCAAAGGCACTCAGGCCACTTCAGTGAATGTGAACAGGAAGTCGGCTGACAGAGAGTTCCTCTTCAGCATTCAAGGGCAAAATGAGCACACAAGTACAGCCCGGAGAGTGTTTATTTGATAAAGGGCTGTGTAACAACTGCACGAGTGTCTCACTGACAAATAGCGTGAAATATAAAGGTATTAGTGG